TTGCAATCGAACAATTTATCAGCCTGCAGCTTCGTGCAAGACGAAAGCAGCTTCCTGAGGGGCCCTAGTTTCCGGAATGTAAAGGGGTGGATGAATGTCTTCTTCTGCATTTCGTCAGCTGTTTCACTCTCGCAGCCAATCGCAAATCCTCTCCGGCAAAGGCGCTGTGGCTGCCATGGTCGACCCGGTGGCCAAGCCACTCGAGGAAACGGACATTGATGACTTTTTAACAGGAGGTATATTGCCACCCCAATCTAGTTCACACGGGAAGCCGGGTAGGCTTCTGCGATGTGGGTCGGACCTCCACGCAGCAGAGGCGTTGCGCGCTGTTCTGGAGGAGCAGCACCAAGAAGTGCTTCTACGGTTTGACTTGCAAGCGCAGCAGCTGAGCAAGCTTCAGAAATTGCTTCCCGCAGCTCCGGCCCGTTTTGCGACAGTGGTTGAAGATGGGGATGGACCCAGATCAATGCCCGCGCTGGCGATTCCTCCGCCAAGGCAAAGGCGGCAGTCCTTCACACCGCTTCGCTTCCAAACCTTCGAAGAGGAGGAGAATAAGCGGCGGGAGGCAGCATTGCACGAGAGCCAGATTCACAGCAGCATGGAAAGGACGACTTCTGAACCCTTGAGGGAAGGATTCTTGACGAGACTAGTCAAGTCGAATCGCTTCGAGATGTTCTTCACCTGTGTCGTTCTGACGAACTCCATCTTCATTGGCATCGATGTTCAGCTCAGCACCCAAAGCCCCGAAGACATCCACTGGGCGATTCAGGCAGTGCAGTCTATGTACACGGCGCTGTTCACTATAGAACTGCTCTTGCGTCTTTCTGTCCATGGGCGGAGTTTCTTCTGCAGCCCTGATTGGTTGTGGAACTGGCTGGACATTTTTATTGTCGCAACCTCGCTTTGGGAAGTCGGCGTTGATCTTGTCGCAGGCCGCATTCTTCTAAGGAAGCTCCCATGTCAATTTGGTTCGAAGCCACAATGCTTCGTTTTAAGCATATATGTTTCTTCTGCCTCCATGTCCCGACAAGACCCCACTGTTTGAAATGTTCGTTTACTCTTCTTGCAACTCCAGGCATACTGGGAGCTGCTTCCGAGTATGGAAGCGTGGAGGGCATGACTGGATTGAGGGCGTTTCGGATTATCCGAGTCACGCGCATCGCCAAGACGGTGCGGTTGCTGCATATTTTTCGTTTCATTCTGGCCCTGCGGATGCTCGTGACGTCGATCATCAACACATTGAAGTCCTTGCTGTGGGCTTTGATTTTACTGATACTGATCATTTATGTATTTGCAGTACTTTTCGCCCAGGCAGTTGCTTCTTATTTGGCAGATGACTCGGTATCTGACTTGGAGGAGCAAACACTGGTTAGATATTATGGAAGTCTGTGGACGACTATGCTCCACCTCTTCATGAGTATCTCTGGCGGGATAAGTTGGGTGGAGCTCATCATTCCACTTGAAAAAATCTCCATCGCTTGGGTGTTTCTGTTTCTGTTTTTTATATCGTTCACTTACTTCGCAGTATTAAACGTGGTGACTGCCGTCTTCTGCCGGGGGCTGAGTTGTCTCATCAGGCTGACCTACTGCATCTTGCAACAGCCAGGCATGTTCGCATTGGGCTGTGTTCGGACAATCAGAACTAGGGGGTGTCGTCGGTGTGACTTGAGTGTGCGCCAATGTCTCCTCGGCTCAGGCTTGAGGCAGAAACAAACTGGCAACCAAGCCCATGCATGTGTGCGGTCACAAGGAGGTACATAGTGCCACAACCACCGCCCTTGCTTGACACTGCTGTTTTTCTCCGGGTTGTTGCCCTTCGTGGGGATGGACTTAGCCCTGAACTTAGGTCAAAGCGCAATTGAAGGAGCGCAGAATGATCATGCTGCGAAAGTGCAATCGGTTCTAGCGGACAAGCAGGCACACTTGGAGAAAGTCCGCACGCTCTTCAGCAAGTTCGGAGCTGATGATGGAGTCATCACGTTCGGAATTTTCGAAGACAAGATAAACAGCCCTGCTGTGAAGGAATACTTTGCAACTTTGGGTCTGGAGGTTTATGATGCTTGGTCCTTCTTCAAGATGCTAGACGTTGACGGTGGTGGTGCGGTCGAGATCGAGGAGTTTTTACTGGGCTGCTTGCGCCTGCGAGGTCAAGCCACTGCCATGGACGTGGCAAAAGTCATGAACGATATCAGTTGGCTCATTAAATCGCAAGGGCAGTTTCACGCCTATGTGGAGGTGGAGCTGAAGCAGCTTAAGGATGACCTTTTTGGCCGTGCAAGCGTGACCACGAAGTCCCCTTCACAACCGGGTGTAGATAACCAAGAAGATTGACCCGGAGGACAAAAAGGATTGAGTGCACATGCAACATCATGTAACACTAGAATTCCTCAGGCCCATGCGAGTGCAAGGTTGCTGTGCCATTGTGCTGTTAGTTGCGTTCCTTGCGCGAATCGACAACACTTTTGAAGCCTCTTGATGCAGCTGTTGCAGTTTCGGAGAATTGCTTCAGCAATACATAGCTTGTCCGTATTTATATTTTTGTGCCATGGCCACGGAAGGTGGCTGCGATGACCAAGCTCCCATCGAGCATCCACAGCCCAGCTCAACTGCAATGCCAGGCAGACACTGGCGTGAAGACAGGATCTCGCTGACGTCAGGGCTTGACCTGCATTGCTTGCTGGTTCAACAGCATGACATCATATCGAAGAGGCTTGATTCACAGGATGAACTGCTGCGCAGACTAGTTGACGGCACCTTGCCCAGAGCAAGCTTGCCGCACCTGCCAAGGTCTGCAGAGCCGCAACAAAAGCCAGACGTGACTTCACATGCACCTGTGAAAGTCAGCAGCGGAAGGCTCTTCCACACCTTTGAGCAAGAAGACCGCTCGCGCCAAAGGGAAGCCAAGCGAGTGTCTTTGAGACACAGTGCTACCCTTGCTGACATGGGCGCAAATCCGAAGGCGAAGGAACAGCTGGGCATTTTGCAGAAGATTGTCAAGTCTCCAGTCTTTGAGATGTTTTTTACTTTGGTGGTGATCTCAAATTCTGTTTTTATAGGCATTGAGGTTGAGGTGAGCATATCCAGTTTCGATACTCGCCCACCTGAAATTTACGTGGCACAGTACATCTTCGCTTGCCTCTTTGCAGTGGAATTGGCACTGCGATGGGGGGCTGCTGGCTGGAAGTTTTTCCTCTCTGATGAGTGGGTCTGGAGTTGGTTCGATTTGTTTGTTGTGTTGACCTCTATCTGGGAAGTGGCATTGGACACGCTGTACACGGGGACTGCCGGCGATGGTTCTTCTTCTGGCCTTTCTGGAATGAGTGGCCTGAGAACCTTTCGCATCATTCGCATCACCAGAATTGCGAAAACCATTCGCCTGTTGCGCATGTTCCGCATGGTCCTTGCCCTGCGCACGCTTATTGCCTCAATCGTCAACACTCTGAAGTCCTTGCTATGGGCTTTGGTACTGCTTGGTCTTATCGTGTACGTCTTCTCAGTACTCTTCTGCCAGGCCGTCAGCAGCCACATGCTGGATCCATTAGCTGAACAGCTTCCTGAAAGAGAGCTGATGCTAGCTCAGCGACATTTCGCTTCGCTGGGAGATTCTTATCTCAGTCTCTTCATGAGTATTGCTGGAGGTGTCAGCTGGGAAGAGCTGATGGCTCCGATAAAACAGATTTCAATTGCATGGGTTCTGCTGTTCCTGTTCTACATCTCGTTTACGTGTTTTGCCGTGCAGCTTAGCCGTGACAAGCACTGCTGTTTCGCTCTGATATCCCATAGCAACCTACTATCCTACAGTTGACGAGTTTCCTCACTCTTCTTTGATACGAAGACAGCATAGGTTGAATGTGGTCACTGCGGTCTTCTGCACGGTGCTTAGTTGGAACCCGCTGCCAGACAGCTCCTCCATTGAAGAGCTTTAGCTGCGAGGTAGCAGCCATAGCAAAGTGATTGTGACCTACTTAAGGTCAGAGTGCTATGGAAGGGGCACAAAACGATCACGCCTCCAGGGTACAAGCTATCCTTGCAGACAAGGAGGCCCACATCCGGAAGATTCGCAAGCTCTTTAACGAATTCGGTGCGGACGATGTTGTAACATACGAGATGTTTCGGGACAAGTTCAACACGCAGGCTGTGCAGGAATACTTTGCTACAATCGGTCTCGAGGTTCCTGACGCGTGGTCTCTCTTCAAACTCCTGGATATGGACGGTGGCGGTGCTGTTGAAGTGGAAGAGTTTCTGGACGGATGCTTGAGGTTGCGGGGACAGGCAAGCGCCTTAGATGTTGGAAAGATTATCCACGAACAGGCCTGGCTTCTGAAGAACCAGGGCAAATTCCAGGCTTTTGTGGAGGTGGAACTCAAGCATGTGAAGAGACAGCTCGGCAGCATCACCGGCATATTCACGCCTGAGCTTGCTTCCGATGATGTCGGGCCCAAGGCAGCATCGTCTTGCAGATCAAGTTGGAAGAGCATCCCGCAAGCTACTGCAGATCATCGAATGATTTAAGTTCCCACTCATGTCCAAGACATTCCCAGAAACAATCCCTCCTGCAGCACAGCGAGTTCTCACGGGGTGGAGTAGTGCTGGGATACATGGGTCTGAAGATCCCCTGTGTCCAGGCACTTGAACCAGAACAGCCTAGAATGATCTCAGCGAACTGGCCTGCATTGCGTAAGATCCACCCTGCGGGTCGGGACATGCGCCGTCCTGTTTAGGATTCGCTGCAACTTATGCTGGAGCTTCGCAAAAACTCTCCCCGCCTTGATCCAAACGGACGAGGTGGCTTAAGCATGCTTAAACCGACCGCTTCAATGTTCCAGCGTCGCTAGTGGAAAGGAGCACGTGCTTTCCTCGTGACGTCAGCATTGAGCCGAAACGGGATTAACTATGCCCACATTCGTAAAGTGATTGCTCGTGCTGTGGAAAGCCTTGTCGCCGTTGCAGAGTCCCATCTCGGCTTGTGCAAATCATGTGGGCAAAACTCCTGCCCAAAGGCTCACGAAGAGCATCACGATGACCTGCATCGCAAGGATGGTCTGCCATTGCTTTCGGAACTACGAGCGAGGGATACTGATTGCGGACGGTACATGATGCGCTCGAGTCTGTCTTCATGTGTGAGTGTGTGTGTGTGTGTGCGTGTGCAGACGCTTGGACATAGCGCTAAGTAGCTTCTCCGACTCCGGCTCTAATTTTTCCTCACAAGCAGTTGCTGTATGCCATTGCCGGGCTGTGGCACACGTATGTACAAAAAACGTTGCTCATATCAGTCATTTTCTCAGTCGCAGTCACCGTTGTCATGCCTAGGCAAGTAAGTAACTAAGCAAGTAAGTAAGTAAGTGTTACATAACAGTCAGAGTTAGGTGCAGATTGACAAATGCGCTGCTGTTTGCCGAAACTTCGTTGTGCTTGAAACTGTGTATCGGATGGTCAATCCTGCTGCAAGCCAGGGTCGGAGACTTGGACAGCTAGCATGCCAGGTCGGCGACACCTCCGACCTACTTCAGCGCATGCAGCAGGAGCATTCTGAGCAAGAGGCAACACTGCACTCCCGTGCGCACATCTGAATACGAAGCGCAAGACAGCACGTCACGTGCCAGGTCGCCTTGTCCCACGCACAAACGGGCGCTTCGCGGCATCAGGCGCCTCGGCGCCGCCTCGGTGCCTCGACGGCCCGTATAAACTTCGGTGCCCAGAGGAAGACCTCCGCAAACTCGAGCGGATTGCTTCAGCGCACCAGCGCTGACCTCAGCTCGCGGCGGCTTGCCCTGCAGCCCTTATAGCTTGCCACTTCGATGCATCGAATGACCGTTGCAGGGGTCGGGTCCACGCGGCCAACGTGGAGATGGCGCAGCTTGCCACTCACCTCAGTGAGATTCATGTTCATTGTGTCTCTACGAGCGAGCTGTTGATTGTGGGAGCTCGTCGCGGTGGCACAGCCCATCAAGTGACGGATTGTTAGCTTCCTTCGCCTTGGGCAGTGTAGAATCCGTTGCAGCGCACCACTATCACCTTTTCACGGCATCTTCCCCAAGGCATCCAAGCTTGAGGAACTGCTATGTCCTCAGACTTACGGTTGGTGCTCTTGCACGTGGGCAAGGGTTTTTTGCATATTATTCCATTACCAAGGCAGCTACCCACAGAAAACTTCTCGGAGGTGTCCAGTTTGTGCTGGCCTGTGGCCAGCTTTGCTCACCAGGGCGCTTGCTGTTCAGACGAGCGGCGGAGCCCCCACTTCCGGCCTAAGCACTCCGGCTTTCCACGCGCCAAGCCATGATGCTTTGAGCATCGAACCTTCCCCCTTGTCGTGGCTCCTGGCAGGTCGGGCGGCTGCAGCATGAGCTGCACTCGAGGGAAGAAGAGCTCGAGGTGTCGGCGAAGCCATCTTTGAGCAAGAGCAGGGTAGACATGAAGCGTGCTCTTAGGTCCAGGAGTCTGCAGCTGGGCTCAAGGAACTGAATTCGCCAGGATTGCATGATTGCTTTTGCAATTCATTGCTGCACCCAATGGCCCGGGGCCCAGGTTCTGCAGTGCCGAACACTGGCAGGGGACTATCTGTTTGCCAGGTTTTCCGCAGAGGTCTGGCCATGGTACCTTGCCCTACGTTGCAATGATTTAGTGATGCCTGCGCTGCATGTGACAGCCGCCCCGTTTGCTTGACACAAAGTAGCACGAAGCTGAGGAAAAAACCGAAGAAGCGCTCCTCGACTTCAAAACGGAAACACAACGCAGCATCACCAGACAGGTGGTAGATTCTCAAGCGGCAAGACCCATGGCATGCTTTGAGGCAGAGATATCCAACCCCTGGAATAATCTATGACAAGGCCGGCATGGGATGCGCGTAACTTCGGCATGAATACGGCTGGATGAAGCCTCTGGTGCCAGGGCTCCCAGCTGTACTTGCAAGATCCAGCATACTGGAATTACTGGGTGGCTCGACAGCTTTCACTGCGAAGAGATTTACAAGTAGTCCCGATGCTTTTCTTTGTCGAACAGCTATATTCAGGATCGTCCCATCAAGCCAGGCTATCCTGCAGATGCGACTTGCTCTGACCAGATGAAGTTGAGCTCTGAGAAGCAAACGACGCTTCCTTGCGCGCTGTTCTAGCTGAGGACTTCTTGGAAAGCAATGTAACATCTCCGCCAAGCGTGTGGTGGGAACAACGCTGCTCAGCCTCGAAGCAAGTGCATTCACGTCCAGAGGTCTTCCTGTCACTCGTCTCGCACGAAGGCAGGCTATGGCGCAACAAATGGAAGCAGCTCGGCACCGGAGACGAGGGAATGGCCGCTCGGCTTACTGAGTCGTGTCAGCCCCGATGGATCGGTTTATGATGGGTTGAAGGTGCGCAAGCTGCCGCTAGCTGAGGCAACTTTCCCGTATGACGGTCGACCGCCTCCGGGCTGGACACTGCGCTTGCATTGATGCATTCAGAAGCGATCTGCTCGCTGGAGCACCGGAGCATCCTCCAAAGGTGCTGTTGAGAAGCCAGACTCCCCGGCCGAGTCTGTGTACTGGAATACCTAGACCTAGTGAAGCGGACACTTCGCAGGCATTTGACAAGCCGGTTCTCTATGTGAGCACAGGAACGGGCGATGCGTCAGGGAGCCCGGGCTTCTGAATGCAGACTGGGGGCGCCCAAAGCTGTGGTGGGAATGGCTCGAAAAACCGCACCTGGCTGCATTGGAAGCTTGATCTCCAGATGAAGCCTTTGATTCACCCCCCCGCGATCAACTAAGGGCGAACAGTGTTTTGGGGGATTGGAAAAGTGGTCTGAAGGCGGCAGCCAAATCCATGGTTGGTGACTTCGTCGGAAGCTTTTTTGACGATGAGAAGCGGCCAGTCTTCAGAATTAGAGGATTGTTGGTGGCGAGTCTGCGACTGAAGCTTGGCAGTCGTGAGGCATTGTTTCTCATCGACGTACTTAGGTGCACGTTGCCAATCAAGCTCGACTCTCCCATTTCCGAGTACTGGAAAGAGGCAGGTCAAGCTGGCTTCTGAGACGCACTTGATTGGAATGCTCGAGTGCAGGCCAGTTCCAGCATCAAAGAAATTGTTCAATCCAAAGCACAAAGCAGTCCGGGCTGTTTTTCCACTGCTGCATGCTAGCATTCAAGGCTTCGACTTGGAAAGTCCTCAAGCGCCGTGGCCCCGACGAGGAACTTTCCGCAGAGCCAAGGCCGCACATAGACCGTGGCAACCTACGGGCCAGGGGTGCACGTCCCAATGTCTGCACAATACTTCTTGTCCGTTCAAACCCCTCCCAGGCCTCAGGCTGACTGTGCAAATTCATGCAAGTTGGCACGTAGGCTGCCCCCGTGCAAGGAAAGAAAGCCGATCAAAAGGTGTATGCTACCTGGGACCAAGAGAAATGGGTGGACGAACATACGCTTCGACGTCCTACCATAAAAGGCCGGCACACCTCCATGCAGCACTGCACAGATGTCGATGTGATGCAGACTCCATACTGTAGCAGGTTTTCCGAAAGCCTTAACACCTGCTGGACTGGAGCGGGCTACGCCACGCTTTGAAGACAGGCGTCGCTTCATTTTGCGTGCAGGCTCTGCGTCGTACATTCCAAGCTGGCCCGAACTCGGGACGAAGTTGCAGCATTCAACGGGGCATCAACCGCTGTCATAGTCCGCACTGTCGTCATGGTCCACACACAGACACCCAGATGCCCACATGCACACGCAGACACGCTTGAAGCGCTGATCCTGCCAAAGGTTCGAGGAAGACGAGCCCGCAACATTGGACCCACGGCTGCCGCGCCCTGCAAGTGTCATGTCGCAAGTGACGTAGAGTTTGCGACTGAGTCATAACAGCGCCTGCTTCCTGGCGACTGGGTAACATTAACTCGTGTGGGCCCATGTGGGCTCGTGCAGTGGCTTGTCAGATGTAGCTGTGAGGCCTACCTGATCTGAACGAGTACGTGGAGAGCCAGCGGGAAGAGATGTTCGAAGAAGCGAGAATGAAGGCCTGCCGGGCTTGCCAAAGATCCGTGCATGTTGACACAACAAGCTGGCGAGGCCTTCGATGGCAACTCTGGGGCGTTGGGTTCCATAGCAGACACGCTGTCAGCATCTCGGCATGTCTTGGTCAAAAGCAGAGCCTTGAAAAGCACATGTGACGAGGTATATGCCATTAAGCCCTGAAAGCCTTAGCATGAGATATCCGAACCCTATCAGTACCTGTGCGCAAATGGTGAAACTCAATCTCATCATGTCGGTCCTTGGCGACAGATGCTGCCGCAACTAAGAAATCGCGCAACGACGAGATCCTGGCCTTGAAGCTCGTCTGACACAAGCTATCCATCAGAGTCCCTGGTGGAAGCGCAAGGACGTTTCTCATTGGAGCTGAGGAGAGGTTACAAGCGTTTGATGAAGGCGGAGCCCGAGTGGCTCGACAAGTTCCTCGAAGGCCAGACAGAAATACGACTCAGGGAAGCCGCGGTGGTGTTCTTTGGAGGTGATGTCGAGAAGGAGGATGCCCCAGTTGGAGAGGGAGTGGATGTCACTCGGCTGCAAGGACCCCTCCAAGTCCTTGCAAAGTCCCATGTGCAAAGCTAAGGAGAAGACTTTCGAGATGGTGAAGGAGCCGAAGCATCCGGTGTGGGAGCCCACGCCGCCTCCGTGGCCACTTGGGACCGAAAGGCTTCCTGCGGGTTAGGGCCCCTGTTTTGGCATCCCAGGCACCCCGGCGACATTCTGAAGAAGATTCCGAATTTCGTTGATCCCTCAGGCAATCGACAGATGTGCATCTTGACATGAAATGCTGGCATAGTTTTCCAAGGAAAAGATCTGGAATGAGCGCATGAAACAAGATCCGCGCCTGCAGCCAGAGTCGAGTCCAGGCCTACCTCACGTCTGACAGATTGACATCTAGCACATAGTATTCATGCAATAGACAGTGGGATAGCGTAGTAGTGCACGGCTTGTAGGTGCAAGACCGCTTTAAAAGCCGAGCCGAGGCTCTGGGAGCTGCTGCGAATTTCAGTCGCTTTTCTGGCCGAGCTGCTCGCGAAGCGCAAGACGACTTGGACCACCAGTGGCGCCTTAGCAGCTCCTTAGCTCCGCCTTGCGTGGAGCGACCTTCCTGGCTGCCCCCGACGGCTGAGGCAAGATCTCAGCCAGCCACCAGACAACTCGACGCGCCTTTGCTGGCTGAGCTTGCAAACCACCACTGAGGCACTTGCATGGCCGTGAAAAATCCCTTGCAAGGAGAGGTCTCTTGAAGAGGGCTGAGGCTGAAGCAGAAGCTGAGCGAGGCGAGGCTGCCCAGTTCTGCGACAGCAAGTCTAAGTGAGCCATTGCGTGCTGCATCGTTACGTTCAGTCTGTACATGCCGTAGCGAAAGCTCCGTTTCGTTGAATAGCTGTGCAAACCCAGTGCTGTGCTAAGCTGCCGATCCACCCATTGTGACGGCGGCGGACGAAGCCGAGGCAGGGGGCAAGCCACAACACTCGAATTCAATGCCAACAGACCGATTTTGAACCTTCGACGGTAGACGCACTGCTATCCAGAGTGATGTGTCACATGCGCAGGTCAGGATGAATGCAATGGCAAGCGCCAATGTGGCTGACACAGAGGGCGCAGCAGCAGCTCAGTCTGCACCGACAGCCGCGCAGTTTTCTGAAGCCTGCAGACACGGAGACTCCCCGAGCCCGAATGAGGACGATCCGAGCGAGGAGCTCGCTGCTGTGACTGCTTCCCCCTCGACACTCTGTGGCACATTCCTGTCATTGACCCGGGCTGGGCTTGCATTTCTTTACATGCTGCAGAGGCCTCGGAAAGCTGTTGCCCCTTGATACCAGACTGTCAGTGACACGGGTTTACATGCAGAGGCCAGCATAGCCTTAACGCTGACACCATCTGACACCCCCCCAGTTTATCGGTGGCCAATCTACCTTGGAGCCGGAGAAGGATGGACTTTGTGTTTGAGCTTGTGCTTGCTGATGAATCACCGGACACCGGTCACTTGATTTGAGCGGAACGGGCCCTCGAAAAATGCGTGGGCAAGCCGGATGCTGAGCAACACCCTTGCGCGCCTTGAGTAGCCCGGAGACAAGCCGCACCGACGTTTGAGAAGCCGAGGTTCTTTCATGCGGGGCTGCAACGGCTTGTGTGAATAAGACATGCAGATGATGCAGACGCAGGGAGCGTGAGGAGACAGAGGTATATAACAGAAAGACAACAAAAAAGATACAACAGACAATGGGAAGGAGTATCAGAATGTCGCGGGAGAAGCATGATAGGAAGTAGAGGACTTTTGTTCGGAAGTTCATGTCAAAGTAGCCGGCTAGGATCTCGTCGTTGACTCACATCCAGGAAGGGGGCCAACACCGAGATTCCGGAGGCGCAGAAGGTGGATGCCAAGGCGCGGAAGCTCCCGCATGTCGTAGGGACTTTTGTGCTTGGGCACCACAGCTTCCATTGAGGAGGCCAGCCTTCCAACCCGCACCGCTGGCGTGACTTGACGGTGAAAAGGCTGCCCAGATACCTTAGTTTACATACCCTCGACGAGGACTTGAGTCAGGCCAGGCGTGCCATCTGTGCTTGGAAAATCACGCGGTTTTGCACTGCTGTTGACGGAGCATGTGACATGTGGGACCTAGGTCACCAACGATGGTACGACGCCTGGCTACGGCAAATCTTCCGTGAGAAGAAGAGGTTCGCCCGCGTCTAGCCTTGGCATTCCCTGGTGTCCGTTGGCGTTAGGCTGAGTGTTGCTGGGTTGGGGGGCTGTTGAACTCAGCGTGCGTCAGCCGCAGGCAGCGCTGCCTCGTCAAAGAAAGCAACTCCTTTGCAATGTGTGAGATCAGGTGCCAGAAGCGGTCGAGCCGCACCATGTTCCTCAGCAGCTAAGGACTACAACGCTTTGTCCAGCGAGGTGGGTGGTTCACGATACATCCTCGCATACATGGGCTTGACATGCTTTGGCATGACATTTCAAACAGTTTGGGGTAAGCCTGCAGACCGCATGATGGATTTATGTTGGACCCGAATCTGTTGACATGTTGAGTCTCGTCGTCGCTTCTCCAGGAAGCCTATACATCAATCAACGGCGAAGCGAAGGCACATGACTCAAGCCCTCCCATGTCGCAGTGATGGCAGCCGATGTTGCGTCCCTAGAGGTGGACCCTGTGACGATGAAGGCCAGTTCGGCAGCTGCCGCCGGGAAGAAGTTGATATTCATTCTTTAGTTACTTCTAGGCCGTACATCGGCTTTCGATTTGGGAGCCAAGGCCGAGATGCTTTTCGCCACGGGACTTCTGATAGAGCCAAGAAAAGCTTGGTCGGGGAACGGTGCTGTGAGCAGCTTGGCAAAAAGTTGTGCTTTGCGTTTTGCTCTTCTGTGGCTATGAATCGCGTTCCGTTTTGGACTTGCTCACCTGAGCTTTCTGAACCAAGGCTCGTTTCTGTGACGGAAGGTGCACGGTAAGTGTATAGTTCCTACTTTGCGAGATGGAGGGAACAGATGATGAAGCATCATGAATGCAGGAACTCTGTCCGGCAAGGCGCTGACCGTCATTTCCTTCCATCCGTGTCAATATGTTAACGAAGCACCACCTATTTGAAGGTGTGCTCCTGGCTAATGCAACCAGCTCAAGGCAGCTGTCAGATATAGTTTTCTACGCGAGTTTGCAGAAGCTTCTTTCAAGAAAAAGGGGGGCAAGTCGCAAATCTACTTGTCTTTTGCCATCAGCCACAGCCGCGGTGGCGATGCACACTGCAGAACTGTCAGGCTGCTGGCCGCCATGCTGCAGCACTTCGCAGCAGGGTGACGTGGCCAAAGTTCCTGCTAAAGCCATCGCGTCCTCCATGCCCAAGAACCTCCAATGAGAGGCTTTGAAAGCCGAGTCCATGCTGCGACTTCTCAAGAACGAGGCAGCCGAGGGATTATGGTCGTGGGAACAGGCTTGGGGGGGTCAGGCTTTGAATAGGAGCTTAACGAGTCTCCAAGGTAAAGCTCTTGATGTGCCGTATTATTGTGTGGCCAACAAGAACCTGAGGGTCCATGGCATAGACGTATGACACGCGGCACAAAGCCAGCCCTAAACAATGCTGCAAGCTGATTCCAGGATTTGCCAACGGGTCTTCGTGCCCTGGGCGAGCAGTGCTCCAGGCTCTCGCTTGTAGTGATTTGTCCCAATCCTAGTTTCGACGACACGACGAGGCCGCGACGCCCCGATGTGTTTTGATTCGCGTTGACAGGTTCAGACGGAGGAGCCCCGCCGGGCCCCCGCGAGCACAGTCTCCACCTCGCAGTGATGCCCTCGTAAACTGGGCGCGGCGGGCGGACGGAAAAGTGGGTTCCTTTTGGTCAGTTCCGTACAGCATTCAAAGATCTGTGTGTTACCCAGCCCCGATAACTGCACGACTTCCGGACTCCGCAGCGATGTGGCCCGATGGACACCGCTGAGCATGCCCCCTCTCACGGTGGAGTATATCAAGCATGCTACCGGGGAGTTCGATGAGGCGCTCGCTGCCATCAATTGCCGCACTTGCTCCGCGTGATGGAAGCAACTCGCAGGAAAGCGTCTTCCAGGCCATCCTCCCCAATCGCTCCTCTCCTGAGCAGTCGGGGCGCCTGAGAAAACTGTCCAATACGAACGCCGATTAAGGCTCGATCACAAGGATTGAGCAGCTTGCCAAGTGCGCTTGCCTCAGAAGGTTGAAAATGCAATCGATTTTGCAAAGGTTTGCAGAAACCTCCCTGACAGCCCGTCTGTAGGCTGTAACCTTCGATGGTTGGATCTGACGAAGAACCAAATTGTCCGCGCGTGCCTTACTTTAGCACACCGCGCATGCCGACAGAGCTTTGTTGGCAAACCGATGTGAGAGATCAGACGTCGAGGCATGGAGAACTTAGACGGCTTGAGCCAGCTGGTTTCAGCTTCTCGGCTGAGACTGAGCTGCCATGTCCAGACTTCTACAAAGTCTTGTTAGCTTGCTCTTGTTCTTCACGAAATGGGTGTAAGCAGAGGGAAAAACAGATCTTCGACCCACAAGCCCGACAACGTCCAAAATTGTCGAATGGGTCATTGCTCATGTGTCAGTCCTTCAGAGTATTGATTGTCACTGGGAGATGCTGCGAGTATTGGCGGTATAATTGCATCTGGACCCTTGCCTGAAGCGGAGCTTATGGCGCCGCGGATCGAGTACGGAGTGGCGTCCTGACCGCTATGAAACGTTTCTTCCACGACCTGGCACATTTCGAGCGGAACGACCCACGGCACCGCCATTTCGTGCTTCGCGCATCTTCGCGCGACGATCAGAGTGCCGTCTTGGAGTCGGAAGGCCTGATACAGGAGCGCAGTGCTGATTAAGTCCGGGGGTCTTTTCGCGCCCGCACTCCTGGTCATGCTCGTGAGCCCTATCTTGATACAGTTAGACCGACAGCAACCCGCGTGCTGCAGTCCGTTCTTCAGTAGCCTGACTGCCGACTCTGGACTCGAAAATGCTCTTAGTTGCGTATCTTGCATGCATCAGCGCATGCCCTTTGTTCAAAGTCACGCATGGATCTACTTACGTCTCTCCTGCTTGTCGCCCAGACGTTTTGAGCGGTGCTTGTGTGCGTCCAGGTTGATCTGTCCTTCAACAAGATCTCGAAGGCTGGACCGCTGGACCGTTGCATCTTTAGACCAAAACCTCAGAGCATCAGTTTTTGTTCCGGGTATCGAAAGTCTCCGTGTGTCCGTGCGTGTGTGCATATGTTAGCATGACAGGTTCAGGATCTGAGCGGCACGCCAAAGCTTGAGCGGTTGATGCTCAAGGCCACTTGGAGTCTGAGAGTCTACCTGCCAGCTTGCGGCGCAGCCTCCTGCCCAAAGTAAGCGCATCTGTAGCCGGGCTTTCGGGCTTCGTTTCAGTCTGCACCCAGGATCGCGCATAGCAATGCAAGGGTGCCACAGTAGACCTGCACGTCGCTTCGATGAACATGGATCACGGAAGGCCAATCCCATCTCCAAAATCCAGGACTTGGAAGGCGCTTCGACATGGCTGCGTCACTTGGGGCAATTCCGGACTAAGAGTCATGAGCCTCGGCAGTTCAACCGTACGGCCCAATCACGCAGGTCTGAAGGCATCACGCTCCTTGCGCCATCTCTCCTTCCAGAACGTGGACCGCTGCGCCGGAAGTGTCTCTGCCGTAGCTTTGCGGCACTGCCAACAGACGGCGGAATCACATATTCTGTTGGTGGAGAGGACAGTTCTGATGCCTGTCCAGTATGCTCACTACCAGAGTCCAAACCTCAGCCTGCCAACGCTTCGACATGTGACGCGGACCTTTCTTTCTGCGTTCCACCAAGGTACGCCAAGAGCTTGCGGTCTCTCTGCCCCGAGCTTTTGGCCCTGGACTCGAAGCGACTGCGACTGCCAGACCTGGATCGTGAGGCCTGCGCCTTTGCAAGCTTCTCAGTCAAGTTGGGCTCTTGCGAGTCTGAGCATTAGATTCGGCGGTTGGACGAGCAGAACGCTGTGGACATACCCGAGCCACAGCCAGTGCCCGAGCTCCGAATCTGCAATGATATGCGAAGATTTGCAGAGCTTCGAGGCCATGGTTCTCAGCCGCGGATTTGGATCTGGGTGAGATGCAAACAGCGGAGGCTATGCGAAGAGATGCGCAGAAATGTCGAAGGTCATAATGCCCCTAGAGAATACCGAACACCTCACCTGATAAAGGTCATCGAGGAGGCGCTGAAGGATCGCATAGGAGAGTTCGAGGCCTGGTAGATGGTGTGTCCGCTACTCTGCCAGTCGGATCGCAGCGCGGAAAGAGGGAGGGCTAGGGCGAACTCCCAGACTCCAGCGCGCTCCCGTGCCTTTTTCGCTTTCGTGAAGCCTATCGCCTGTCACAGGCAGCCATGGCCGACTGCAAGCAAGTGTTCAGAGAGGCCCGGGCCGGCACTCAAAGCAAGCACGCCTGCAGTGGCTTGGCAAGATTGGCCTCGGCCAGGCAGAAGAACTGCTTCGACTGCAGGAGGCTGGCTGACTTCATACCTCAGGCCTCGCCCGGGCCGGGACTAAAGGGATCTAAGGCCATCCTGGGTGCATTGATCAAAGCAGAGATCCTCCGTGAATGTTGGCGCCGATTCGTCTACAGAAGCGATCGTTCAACTGGCAGGTCAGAAGGCCAGAAGCTGCCCTGCCCAGGTGAAAAAGTGCAGGGGGGGGCATCGCCGGTGGGAGCACATGGCACTATCAGCTCAAATAGTCTCCATGTCAGAAGATCAGTGTATCTTGGCAATGTTGACCTTGGCCCAAGCAGAAAATTCAGGGACATGCAAAGCCTAGAAAAGTTTGCTCCGTGGGTAGATCCTGAGTCGCAAAACGGCTTCATTGCCTCAAGACACACTTCGTCCTACAGACAACCAGCCGGCACAGCTCGAGGCCATCCTGGCGCACATCTTCCCATGTATACCGGTAGGAGCCAGAAGCGGAAGCCTCGCACTGTCACAAGTGAAGCGGCCCAGGGCCGAGACTGAACGTGAGCCATCGCTCCCGTTGCCGATGCCGAGATGCTTTCGCCAAGCGCTGAATGCCTCGCGCCGCGCTCCCGGTTCGGTGGCTTTCGCAGGAGCTGCACACAATGTACCTGGGGCCCCGGAGTCCTGCACCTACCGTAGCCGTCGCCCAGAATCTGTTGTGTCGCTAAGGCCTACAGTGCCGACCGCCGCCAGCAGGCCCCGTTTGGTACCTGAAAAATCAAAGACCCTGCCTGCATGCACGAATTTTCGCGAGTTCAGGATGCAGAAGCTGCTCAAGCAGTTCGGGAGAGGCAGTACGGAGCCCGGCTTGTCACGTGAAGGTAACATATCACGATCAACCTGCTTCCTCCGCAACAGGTCTGTCTGGCAGCTGCGCTGCAAGTTGGACCAGTCACGCCGCGAGGCAATTTCTGCCTTCGATCTATCCCAAGACCCCTAATCTTGGTCCAGGCTCGACTAGTTGCTCGGGCATTGCAGCATCAGTATGCAGACGTGAAGAGGCTGGAGGCAGTGGGCCCTGCAGAACCTGGATTGATTGACAGCTTTTGCAAGAAGTCGGGAAAGCTTGCTCAGCTTCATGTGCCAGGCCGCCACAAGACAAGAGTCCCAATACGCCGCCCAGCTGGAGTCCAAGGCCAGCTTGCAGCTGATACTGATTCCTCCCGCAACTGATTCGAGACCACGGTCGATCTTTCCGGTAAGACTCAGTGAGATTGAAGATCATCGTCCTAGCAGCGCTCAAAGAGAGAGACACACACACACCCCGAAAAACACGAAGCCTCCGAAAAAATGTAATGTTCCTTGCTATGCAAAGAGTCTGAGAGAGCACAGGGATATCCCGTGTTGCCCGCTTTCAGGCAGCTCAGCTCTTAGCAAGCAGCCCGGCTGCCGAGCTTCGCTTCCAAGGCGAAGGCCTCCGGCCTCTCCCCGGGCGTATGGGGGGCGGGGGCTGATATGTCTACAATTGTCTACAGTTTTTTTCAAAAAACCTATGCCCACCTCTACCGTACTTTTCCTGTGTTTCCAGCTGTTCAGGAGAGCTGGAAAGCCTGCACGACGAGAATCGTCGTCTTCTAAGCGCCTCGTCCGCAACAGAACTCGCTTGTCGCAGCCCGGCCATTCGCCGATGCATCCTCTCGCAACACGGATTCACCTTGACAGCAATTCTTGTACCGTACCGTGTCAAAAGCTTTGCAAACCTGCTCATAGTGGGGAGACCAACGCAAACGAACGCCTTCGTTCCATGCGAGTGACGCTCACTGCACAGCACCTTGTCGGACAGTTCTGCCTTCGAAAACTTGTCGTGTTCTCACCTTCTCCCTAAAGAGGAGTACTTGCTGGAGGTAGAAACCTGGTTCGTTTGCCACTCTGCTCTTGTGTCTCTGCATTGCCAAGGAGACATCCGAGCTTTGCGCCAGTCTGAGAAGGACAGGTTGCCAGACTTGGCAGTTCACAGTCGAAGCCCCTGCTCGATGGACACAGGAGAGGCGTGGAGAAGCGTTGCGACTCCTCGAGACAGCCGAGGATACTATTCAAGTGGGTCGTGGCAAGAGCTTCGCTCGGAAATTCTCGAAAGCCTGTAGCACCTTCATCAGGACTGCGCAGCAGTTGCAGAAGTTCCGGTGGATCTGCTGGGTGCAGTTGGATGGGGCCAGCTGGAGGTGCAGGCGCAGACAGAGCTTGAGTTCTTGCGTGTCACTCGACCCGGCTTGACAAGCTGCAGGAGGTGCAGCTGAATCTTGCCCGTGCCAGCGCTGCGAGGTCTTGTGCTGCTGAGGACAGCTAGCACGACAGAAGCTCCAGGAGTGAAAATAAATGGAGACACCAGGAGCACGATTCCCTTCTTTGGTCTTTGCACTCAACTCGCCAAGAGCATCGTGTGAAGGCAGGCCACAGAAGAATGGTTCTTGCATTGGCTCTGGTGATCATCAAGAGACTTCGACTTCAGCAAGCAATTCTTGCCGCCCAGGAGACCCCCACAGCCCCCAGCCGGTGTTTCTGACACTGTCTTCAGAAGCCGTGACAGCACTCTGCAGGTGGCACAGCTCGCGACAGACGAGTCGGTGGCACTGCAGCATGAGATGTCGAAGTGTTAACATGTGTACGCCGTATGCAGCTCGGGGCAACGTCCGCGGAAGGAAAAGGAATCAGCACTCGAGGCCGCACTGTCCGCCAGCGCAGAGCGCCGCCACTTCACGGCGGAGGTGGCGGCATGCTGCGAGGCCTCTCAGCCAGCTAACTTCGGAGTAAGGTGTGGTAAAGTCATGGCAGGCGGAGGGGACTGGGCTCTGCCAGGCGGCCGTTCTCTTTCGAAACGAATACAACGAGCTGCAGGTGGGATTCTGCTGTTTCGATACGAAGGCTCATGGACAGCGACGACCAAGGCTGAGTCGGCTCGTGATCAGGAAGATGAGAAGGCATGCAGTGCTCTGGCAGCACATGGCATGATCGCAAACAACATGTCAGGCATGCTACCGTTGCATCAAAATGTCGAACGAACCGCCGCTAGGGCGGGCCGGCGGGTCTGCGTCAAGCGTATTCAGTCAGGCAAGGAGCTCCTGGAGCTTGAGTCAAGAGAAGAGACGTCCTCTCGGGACTGCTCGCTGCGATGCGCTGCAGCTGTTACTGGAAGATATGGGTGCCAGTGTGTCCTTCAATGGTGCCTTCGTCTCCTTGGCAGGACTTGCTCACAGAGTCCTGGCTCCTCAACCAGAGCCGCGAAGCAGCGCAGAGTCTTCGAGGACTGCAGAGAATCTGATGGGTCACCTCCCCCGCTGGCCGTTCCAGCAGGGCTTCCATGATGCCAGGACAGGTGGGGCAGATCGATGCGGCATTGAGCCCTTTGACTGCCATCTTCGCTCAGACTGGAATATGATGGAAGATAGTTATATACGGGAGTTGGCTACGACCAATGTGCGGATCAAGGTACCGTAACACTGTAACTGACAGCTGGTATGCTCGAGGTCGCCGTCAAAGGAGTCTTACTCTCCAGCAAACCAAACATGGAACGCAGGCTGTGTCGACGATGCAGCATTCTTCAAATACAGGGCATGCACCGACAATCAAAAGAAGCAGTTGTCTCATTCTCAGCGAGCACGATGCGCGCTGGACTAGCACAGCCGAAGCACAGGCCTCCTCGCCCTCCACGGTCTGCAATTTGCGCTGAGAACACTTGCCCAGATCGTGGCAGAAGGCCCCAGGCGGCAGTTGCAAAACGCCGAAGGCGGATGGTCGTGTCGTGCCTCGAGGCGGTGCGAAGTGGCCACTCAGGGGGGAGCATGGTTCGTTTCCCACAATGTGAGGCTCGAGGCGAGTGTGGCGGGTGGGGAGGATGAGGCTTTTGCCCTGCAGGGGCTTCTCAGCCTTTGTACGGTGGTCATGATGCCACTAGTGACTAGTGCTCGCCTGTTCGGGTTTCAGGTCTCTTAGCACAACGGAGCGGTCAGAGAGAAGCCTTCACAAGTCAACCAACGCCTTCCACCTGTAGCTTTGCAAGCCAGCTCTAACTGCCCTGCCTCATAGCCTACCGCAGTGCACCGGTGCCGAACGCCCCGATTTCGCCCAGCAATGCCTGCAAAGCTACTCTTACATCCTTTACTTCGACAGGGGTTCGACGACTGAATCCGTGCATGCGAGAGTAGTCTGGAGCTTTCGTTCTTTCGTTCCAGCCTGATCTCAAGCCGGACTCAGCATGACTTGGCTGTCGGCGAGATTTGGACTCCGCAAGGTCTCGCCTTCTGGCAGCTCTGCGGGCATAACATAGGAAAACATGTCTATTTCTGCAGCATAGCCTGGTCAAGAACTGGCATGAGGCGCTGCAGCTGCCCGACGGCGCGGCCTGGTGGCAGAAGAATGGCGTGGAGACGCGTTGCAGGTCCGCCGTCGTTGTGTCGCGGGGTGATAAATCAAGTGAGTCAAGGCAAATCGGCAATCCAACCCCATTTTGGGACCGAACTTAGCAAGTTAAACTGTAAGTTTGCACAGGGTCACCTCGGTAAGGGACCGTGACTCTCGTGCGGTGACAGTACTGTTCAGGCGGCTGGGCTGCGAGAGCTGGAGGTGCAAGCTAGCGAACTGCAGAGTGACTCTTGGACTTCGAATTGTATCCAGTATGTTCCGCTGTTTCCTGCCTTGGCGGTGGCATTCTTGTGGTCATCTAAGGAAGCAGCTTCTGCGCAGGCTCCCCTTCGGCAGTCCAGCCGGCACGCTGCCCATCCTCATGCCTCTATTTGATGTCCAGGTTGCAGCCCTCAACCTGAAGCAGATTCGAGAAGGCTGCTTGGACCCCCTGGAGCGCTGCCTTCAAGGTGTCGCGGAAGATCCCTGAAGTCTGAACCACTGCATCGGAGGTTGCAAGCTTCAGAGCACCAAGCAGACGCAGTGGACTGAGAGTGCTCGGGATTGTCAGTGACTGCCGGCCTGCCGCCTGTCGACAAGACGGGCTTTTGGCAGGTCGATGCTGGAGATGGAGCACTCCAGAGCGGAAGAGCTCATTGCGCACGGAACTGAGCCCCATCCTCTTTCCATCCGTTTCCGCTGCTCGTGTAACACGCATGCGCGGCACGAGCTGAAGCATTGCGCCCTTGAGTGTTAGAATCGAGTGCACAAGGTTCTTCCCCGTTTGATAATCGCACCTTGAGATAGGTCCTTAAACTGGCGACTCTCTGCGAGTGCTTGAACGGTGACGGTTCGCCCTGCTCAAAAACGAGCTGTTGATTCCTGCGCAAGTGCAGAACACACCGCTACTAGTCCGCCTGGCACTGCGATGTCGACCAAGGAGCTATGCCTGCGCGTGGGAAAACGTCCACAAGCTGCAACGCGCTGTGCGAGCTGAAGAGCTGCAGAAGAAGGCAGCGACATGCGGCCACTTTCTGACATGTGCGGAGGAACTCCCGAACATTCGGCATGATCGTTTCAGCAATTCTTGGTGGTTCTTGGTGGATGGAACCACGAGCACAGAATATCCGAAAAGCCAATCAAGAGCATCATAAGTTGGCTGGGTAGCTGCCGCTAGTCCTCTCCTTGGGTTTTTTGAGTATGTTGTTGCTGCATGCATTCGACACGGCGTCATGGAGTGAGACGTCTATCAGATCTCATTCCGATGCCGGGCACTAGCCTGGCGATGTTGAATGTCTTGCTTGTGACGTGAGGTACAAGCTCATGCCAAAATATCTGAGGGCAGAGATCGTGCTAAAAGCTGAGGCGATGCAAGACAGAGCCAGAGAAGCCGTTCTGGAGAGCGAGGCCTTTGTGTTAGCCAGCGAAAGTCGGGTTGTACTTCATGCTTGAGGGTGCTGAGTGGGAGAAGCAGGCAGGTGTGATGGAAGAAGGTGAGTTGCTTTGGCCACAGCACGGTTTAGAGGAAAAGTGCTCCTGGCCCACGCAAGTCCAAAGAAAGTTTCTGAAAATGACAGCGACTTGCAAAACACCGTCGGGGTGGCAGAACTCAGGCTGCTGATGCGCAGCTTCTGAAAGCCCGCGCCAAATGCGAGGCTGCGGCTGCATACAAAGAATGACAGGAACCGGTGTGAAGACAGGGATGCGGCTCCCTGCAGGTAGCTGCCGCTGCGCTTGCGCAGGGCCGGCAGCTGGCAATGGATAGAGGCAAAGTTGGCTAAACGGGAGTTCTGAAGGATCCTTGTCGGGCAGTACTGTTTAGAGTACCGAGGCTCACCAGATGCTCAAGGTATGTTGATTTTCGGACTTTTGTGCCAGGACCCGGTTTGACTCGTTTGAAAGTCGGCAGCACATCCACAGAGAGATCCTGGCAAGGTGCCGATTTGCGCGGAGAGCTGAAGCAGCGCAGCGCAGCTCAGGTGACGCCCTCAGACCTGTTCTTTGCAGTTGTGCCACTGCCACAGAGCATCCCATGCAAGGCTTGCCTAAGCGAAGAGATTGAAGAGGCAAGGGCGAAACGCAGAAGCCGCAAAGCACTGCAAAGGTAGTTATATACGTAGTTTGAGTGTGGCGGGTAGTTGCCCCTGTGCTTTCCTTCAAGGTCTTCGGTTTTTCTGCGATCGTCTGGGCCTTTCGGAAATTCTGCTTTTTCGAGCTCTTCAGGCTTTGACGGTGGGCAGTCGGGATCTTCGGACTTTTTTCAGACTTGCAGGAACCGACAGGTTTCAACAGAATGTGGGGGGGAGGGGGGGATGATAACTTCTTCTTAGTGTCCAGCCGCTCCTTTCAGACTTTGCTGCCTAAGCTCTAAACTCCAAGACATAGACCCTAATGGCCCCGAGCCCCAACCAGCGGAACCCCTTGCAAGCTCCAAACCTTCAGGCAAAATCCCAAAACCTGCTCCCAAAAGAAAAGTGGTAAGTCAAGTTCTCACACCTTAGCTGCTTCTATGGTGCACGCCCGAAACTTCAAACACAAATCCCGAGGCAAGCCTCAGTCCTTCAACCCCTTCGCCTGACCCTTAAGATAAGAGCAATCCCAAACCTCAAAGATCTGCGTCAGCATCTCCAGGAAAGACTGCAGCAGTCAGGTTTTGACCAACGGGGACTCGTCTTCAAACAAAGCGCACGGAGTGAAGCTAAGAGCAACTTTACTTCCGAGCCTAGACTAACATTCCTGTCCCAAAGCCCCCCGTAGGGGCATCCATGCGCCGCGCACCATGAAGTTGTGAAGGGTGGAAGGCAAAGCTGGATCGACAGCATCTTCCAACCAAAAGACAGCTCTGACATCGTATGTAGCGAGAAGTGCGCACACGGTGCTTTGAAGTGCGGGCCTGCCCATGCAGGGGTCTGAGCGAGCTCGGGAGTGCGGAGCCTAGTGCAAGCACAATCTCCTGCAACGCCATGCGGGCATGTGAGAGGAACGGCTGCCGGCATGGTGGGATCGGGAGCAGATTTCAGCTGTGCTTCTGTCGCAGGTGTCGTGCGAAGACGGAGAAGCTAAGGCAGGAGCTGGTCACGGTGCGGCGTCGGCGACTCAGCAGATTGGCCCGAAGTGTCGTTTTCAAACTCGGTAGGGTTGCATCACTGCTGCATAACGGGTGGCGTTGCTTGATTAATGCTGACCGGTTTGCTGCACTTCAATATACGTGAGGTCGCAGTGCCTCCCTTCGAAGCTTGCTACCAGCGGGCTGACCTGCTAAGATGCAAAACGGAAGGGCGTGCTGTTTCGACGCCAACTCGACACAACCTCAAGAGATGCCGGTTATAGCATGTGATCATCGCTGCTGGGCATCTCCTTCTGTGCAGACCTGCCCTTGGCTACAAGATCGCATTCACTTTTTTGTGGCTGACGGTCCTCGCACTCGCAGACTGCACAGAGCTGGAGCTGCTACAGTACCGACAACTGCACGGACAAACAAACCTGCCCGTCCTGCGAGTGACAACTGAATACAACCGATAGCGGTTCTCATGCAGGTTCGAGACTCTTGGCCGTTGCATTTCGCGACCCTACTTGTAATGCATTCGCACTACAGATTGCGCTGTGGAGCTCTCACGCGGGCGAGCGGCCGATGGCAGGGTTCTGCGCAGGGCTTCAAAGCAATGGCCATGGTTTCCGACGTTCCAAGGTTTTGCGTGCTCGGCGGAGGCCCGGTTGTTTCACCTGAGCCCCCGAAACCCAAGCCTATCCTAGCGCCTGCCTAACCGTCAGGATGCTACTTGCAGGCTTTGGCTAGCGTTTTGGCTTCACGGCTAAGGAACGCTGGTAGGCTGATTTCTGGTTGGGTCATGGTATGGCTGAAGTGCAGGTGTTTTGAGAATTATAGTTTACAATTCTCTCGATCGCTGTGCACGAACTTGTATGAGTGTAAAGAGGTCCCAAATGACCAACGGAGCCCTCCTATCGGAAATATGAAGTTTCAGCCACTCAATGTCTCAATTTGATTGTTTTGTGGCCCTTACGAAGATCGAAGCTTCGTTGTACCTTCATTTCTGATGAAGCCGCCCGTATTCCACCTTATGGAGCTGTTATGAAAGCCCTGAGTCGGAAATTACGAAACTCAGGGGTGCGATGTCTGAAATTGGACCGCGCTGAAATATCAGACTTAGGAGCCTTGCTAGCCTCGAGGAATTGCTGGCTTGGTGTCGGCACGACTCCTACAACGACAACTTCCCCATGCCCAGATCACCGTCTTAGAGGCAGGTGGGTGAGAGAAGTCGTGCTAGTCAAGTGCGACACGACCAAACAGTCTTAGCAATTCCAGGAGTCCGAGCGGCTGGGCGGCCTCGTGCAAACTGCAAGAGGACACGCCTTGTCATGGCACGGAAGTTTCAGTGTCACCAGAGCCATCACATGGCGCAGGTCCGAAGGGTCAGATTTTGGAGCAGGGCTTCCATTCCAGCATCCTGGTGAACAGAAATGGCCGGGAGGCTCTAGGCTTGGCCAAAATGCTGAAGCTCAATGACGAGGTCCTCGGGGCCAACATCGAAGCATCTGCACGACGCCACCTGCTGCACCGTGGCCGTGTGCAGATTGCACCAGCACCTCATCACGTGCTTTTTTACGGTCCTGCTCTGATGGCAGAGCCCTTGTGGCCTCGGGGCCGCCAGAGTGACGAGAGCGTTGCAGCCTTTACATCTCGCCGTGGCTCCCGTTCTCTGGCCAGGCGCCTGGGGCCTCGGCAGCTTTGAACGCAGAGTTAGTCGATGGTTCTCGTTCTGCCAGGCACTTGGCAGATCCTATCTGCAGAGGTCAGCTCGCTGGCAAAGCCGAAGCCCTAGTCGCAACCCAGTCGCGCGGACAGTCCAGTGGCATGATCCTTCAGTCCGCACCAGTGCATGGACTGAAGTAAACAGTACTAAACTGGACATGCGTTGGGATTCAGAGCGGGATGCAGCCTGAGAAGGTGTTCCGCGGCTTTTACGGAGTTGCGACAAGCAGTCCGGAGTGTGAGTGCATGAGCAGCGAGCAACACATGCAAGCATGGCCGAGCCCCCAACTCGGTGTAGGTGGGTCATAGGTTTGGAGAGGTCTGGAGAAGGGCGGCGGGTACAGAGAAATGTTGCTTGTGACAGCTGCCGACGCCTGGAGCCTTCAAGGATGCTCACGAACACTATGAGAGCAGTTCTGCGAAGCTGACACTAAAGTGGCATTGCAAGGCCGAGGACCTGTCCGTGAGGACCTGCTTCCCCAGACTCTGGCACAATGAGCAGCGCTTCGGCTCGGTCTTCGTTGGGGCAGGTGGCCCAGCCAAGAGAGAGCTCCTTTCTTGTCGAACCCTAAGCGGCCCTAACCCTAACGGCCCCACCCAGTGTTTCTGACCTGACAAGGCCGCTTTGGGGGCGCTTTCTTCCTACCGACAGCGGAGTTGGATGGCCTTGGACCTGCTGGAGCGCTCCTCTAGAGAGTGATACTGGTAGTGCCAGAGCGCTGTTTTTTTGGTGAAGTTGCTTTGAGTGCCTGGTTGTGCGATGTTTCGCGGTTCCGTTGCCACGGCGAGCCCGAGCTTGAAGCCTTGTGACCATGGCATCCCTTTTGCCGCACACAGCGACGGATGTGCGAGCTCACAGCTTCGCAAGGCGCCGCCAAAAGCGCAGTCGCTGTGTCAGTGTTTGTCTAGGGGCCACGTATCGAACACAGCGAGCTCACGTCCAGGATCGCTCCCGATGCGGTTTCAACCCACACAAGAAAGCCGAGGCAAACGGATACCGACTGCACAGAGAGTGACCTTCAGTGAGACCAGTGCCCAATCCCTCATGCCGGCGCAGGTTTACTCGAGCCGAAGCTTGCAGGCAGGGGATGTTCAATGTGACGCTTCTTTGTGGCTGCTCGGTGAAAGGAGTTGAACTGCTCATGTTTCACGGAACACTGGCTTGCACTGAGGTGCAGCCAGGTTTTGGCCAGAACGGAAGATGTTTTCGCGCAATCGGCGCGTGCTGTCGGAAACCTTCGACGAGCATGCAGCTGCCGTCAGATCATGGTTGGACAAGCTTGTGATTGGCATGAACCTTTGTCCATGGGCCGGAAAAGCCGATGAGTCCGGTGGCATCAGGGTGCCATGTCGTGTAGGTCCACTGAACGCATCGTCAAAGTTGCGTTGTTGTATGGGATGTTGCATGCTGAGCATGCGATGGCACGGGAAGCTCAGGTAGTTACCAGCCTGGGATCCGCCCCGGCAGAGGTGCTGAAGGACCTCCAAAGAGAGGCAGCAGCACTGCCATGCGAGCCTCGTGCTCGACCGGGTGCAGCAACAACAAGCCTCGTCGTGTGTCCCCACGTGAAAGCCTGGCAAGTGCAGTCCTGAGTCGTTCGTGTGATGTCAGGGCTGAGAGGGGTGAGGTGGCACGCATTTTGCTGTGATGTTTCATGGTCTTAGGAGTTTGAGCCCTTTGCGGAATTCTTCGGTGAAACCCTGAAGAACGGGGTGGCATTCGAAGATGACCTGGGTGTGAAGCTGGTGGCATTCCATCCGCAGTTTCAACACCAACCGTTGAGCCTAGACTCTGATTTCGATCCGCTGCATGCAGTAGCTCAGACATTGGGAGATCTCCGAAGCTGCTTACATCAGTTCTGAACTCCTTGCACGTGCTCAGCTTTTTTGAATCACGCGCTTCTTGCCGACACTTCCAAGGTTTGGCAGCGTGCTTGAGGTGGATGACATCTTGTCTCTACCGCTCGATGGAGCTTTGCAGAAGGCTAGGAACAAGCACAAGCTGACACCTGACGTTTTTGTTGTCATCCAACGCAGCCAACATGCAATTGCTGTCTTCTGCTGCCCATATGCACAAGTGGATGGGCTGTATGCCCAATTCACCCATTCCAAATTGCAAACCCCTTTTGCAGCATGCTTGTGATGTAAACGCTGTAAACGTGTCAGTCAGATAGATGGGGCCAATCGGCCTTCATCCTTCAAGTTCGAGCATGCGGAGGCCACGGTGCTGGATCCAGATGCAGGGCACGACGAAAACGGCGAGGACGTGCTCTTTCGCTTGCATGAGAAACTCGAGATACAGGATGATGCAGATAGCGTGTGATGCGTGTGGTACGCTACGGTAAGTCCGAGGTTTCTTGTCCGCCTGGAAGATGGGTCTGAGAAGTTCATTGCTTACAAGCTGCTCGGCTCAGAGTCCCACAGCGAAGGGAGCGGGAGAGTAATCACCGAGGAGCTACCGGTACTGGTAGGGACTGGCAGGTACCTGGCGGAGCTTCTTGAAGAGCAGGGAGGCGATGTGCAGGGGGTCGAAGACTTTGATGAACAACTTGAAGATCTTGAAGAAAGCGAAGATCTGGATTCCAGTGAGATTGAGTCAGATGCTGCTTTAGCAAACATCCCGCAGCGTGCACCGCGACCAACATTTCACTTGCTACGGCTGTGTGACGTGTCTGCAGCACTTGCAGACCCTTTGGCCGGAGATCAAGTTTTGGAACAGAATGTGACTACGGTGCAGAAGCTGGGCATTGATGGCTGGCAGCGCTTGATGTCAGACTGGCAATGGCCATGTGAAGAGCCTGGTGCAGGCAGAAATCCTGGTCAAAACCTGTGAGCCTGTGAGCATCTTGCATCATGTCTTCGCCCAGTTCGCACAGTTTCCTCACACTGCACCAGCTCACTAGAGTCACTAGAGATGCTTACAATACATACATGACGCCAGGATCCCTTGCTCCAGCGAGTTGCAACAGGGGGTCGCGAGCGGCTCAGCTTTCGTAGGCAAAGCGGAATTGGGAGAGGCTTGTGCTTATCCGCTGTTCAGGTAGCTACTCGTTCCGCAATGGTCTGAGCAGTCTCACCGACACCCTGGAGGAGAGCCGGGAGCTGGGCTGGGTCCCTCTGTTCCGCCTAGCCGGAATGACACAAGGTCGGTGGATTGTCCTCCACGTGATCTTGTTGAGTGTACCGCAAGTCCACTTCTGTTGTTTGAACGTTCGCTCAAGACTCTGAGTGCGGATGAAGTGGTGCTACTGTGAAAGCAGGCCAAGACGACGGGGTGGTGACGTTGAAGCTTTGAGCACAGACTGTTTTTGGAGTCGGAATCGGAGGTTGGTGCATTCGTTTGGATGCGTTCTGGATGCAAGTGTGCTAATCAAGAGCGTGAAGACTCAGACGCACTGGCCCTGCGTACAAGCAGAGCTCGACTATACGACATGTACTCTACTTCTGCTTCTACATGTCTTTGGAGGTGGGCCTGTTGAGGTGTAGGGTGCTGGTGGTGGCCGTCGTTTTTGCAGGACCCCAGAAACTAAGTGCAAACATCAATATGTCCACAATCGCGTGCTATGCTTTTGCTTCCATTTTTCCAGATGGCAGGTAATTGCGTTTTGTATGTACCGCACCTCGTCGGAAATTCGTGGGCGGCTGTGGTGGTGGCAGATCAGTTGAGGGCACGGCTCAGTTTCATGCTGGTGGTGCTGGCAAGCGTTGTTGCATCATCAGTGGCTGTATATAGAGCACACAGACTGCGCGCAAGCATCTACAAACATGTGTTCTGAAGCACTGGCGGGAGCTCTGCAGGCACACGCTGCAGTTTCCTACAATCCGGTGTAGCCCCGGAGACATCTTTGCGTGTCCACATTTCTCTTCGAAGCCTAGCACTGACAAGGAAAATTGATAGCAAACCCCTGTCGATCATCGCGATAGAATCCGATCTGCTGGGCTTCTGCTCAGGAGTCTCTGCAGCGTCCTGCACCTGGCACGCGCCCGGCTGAAATTCGGTGGGTGTCTCAAGAGTCTGATGCAGCAGTGCTGCTGTCCAAGCTTAGGTTACAAGGAAGATGATGCAAATACACATGCAAAGGAAAGCGGGCAAGTTCGTCATACATGCTAGTGACCCTTATCACGGTGCAGGCTTGGCCTAGCCGCAAAGCGCTGTGGGGTAGGGCAGGTATGAAAAATAGCTTCCAGCTTAGCGTCTATTCAGTGGAGGACCCCAGCTGCTTATAGTAATGCATCTTAAAGTGGAGCTAAGAAGTATAGTGTCCCCTCTTTCTTGCCCTTGCTGGCCTCAAAGGCTTGGGTCCGCTGTGCAGCGGCAAGGGCCCGAGGGGCTTCCGTAGGGTCTGCAGCTGGGAGAGCTCGACATGAAGGAGATGGGTTGTCGCATCATGACTGTGAGACGCCTTGTTGCCGTATTCTGGTTGAAGCCGAGAGTTTCAAAACCGTAAACCCTGTGCAAGCACGACATCGCGGAAAGCAGGTATGATCATCGAAATCTGATGTTCTCAGCATGACAGCCTGCCATAGGTTCCACTGAGCATCAGTCGCCCGGTGAAACAGGCCTTGAATGACCTTGCTTCTGCACGTTGCTCTGTTGAGCGGACAGCAAGCCTCCATCTGCTTGGAGTCTGAAGCGACGGTTGACGACCTCAGGGTGCAAGCACAGCAGAAGCTGCAGCTGTCCATTGCTGGCCTTTTCTCATACGATGGCTTCGTTCTGAGACGCCAAAGCAAACTGAAGGACTTGCCTTTGTCCAGTGGGGACACTGTCTCGGCAACTGTTTGCCATGCTGTTCTGGTTTCAAGCCGAATGTCCAAAGGCTTTGCATTGCTTCGTGATGGACTTGTCGCGACGTGGGGCGATGCAGATTTTGGCGGTGATTGCAGCGCAGTGCAGGATCAGCTGCGAGATGTCGAGACGATTGAAGCTGGCAGCAGTGCTTTTGCTGCCATACGCGACAACGGGACCGTTGTGACTTGGGGCAATCCTGTTTGTGGAGGTTCCAGCAGGAACGTGCAGCAGGAGCTGCATGGTGTGGTGGAAGTCCGCGCTTCCGGCGCTGCGTTTGCGGCAGTTCGATCTGACGGCTCCGTTGTCGCCTGGGGTCTCGGTTCCCAGGGAGCCGACACCAGCAGGGTGCAAGAGAGGCTTCGGAACGTAAAGATGATCCGTGCTGCAGGCTCTGCATTCACTGCTGTGCTGCACGATGGGACCGTCGTGGCTTGGGGCGATCCTCGAAACGGCGGCGACTGCAGCGATGTTGAGGACGGTCTGGCTCTGTTTGTCTGCTACTTTCCCGAGTGTCCTAGAACCCTCATCTGGGCAGTAAGTAGATGTGCTTATTGCTGTCCAGGACAAGCTCGTTGACGTTCAGGATGTCATAGGCTCAGCCGGTGCCTTTGCAGCTCTCCTGCGCGATGGATCTGTGGTGACTTGGGGCCATGCAGAATTTGGTGGTGACAGCAACGCTGTCCAGGCAGAGCTCCGCAATGTGTGTGCAATTGTATCTAACAGCCGAGCTTTCGCGGCGCTCACAGCTACCGGCGGGGTGACGACATGGGGTCATAGCCTGCACGGTGGAGACAGTAGCTCAGAGCAGGTTCGCTTGAAGAGTGTGCGGGAGATAGTAGCATCAGGTACCGCCTTTGCAGCTATCCGGTCCGATCAGACCGTGGTTACGTGGGGGTTTGCGCAACATGGGGGCGACAGTAGCTCAGTTCAAGCTGAACTACGAGGAGTCCAACGAATTGCAGCTTCGTCTGGTGCCTTTGCAGCTCTAAAGTCTGATGGAACTGTGGTGACTTGGGGCCATGCCGACCACGGCGGCGACAGCTCATCAGTCGAACGCGATCTCGTCGACATCTATGACATCAAGGGATCTTGCAGCGCCTTTGCAGCTATGCGCACGGATGGAAACATTTTGACATGGGGTGATCCATTGCTTGGTGGGGATTGCAGGCAGAGTCTCTCGCAGTCTGATGGCACCTGAAAACGCTGTTGCAGCTTTCTGGGGCCTCATGCATCGAAGCTGAAATGCAGCAGCAGGAGCAGCTGCAGGAACGGCGGCTGGTCTTGCACAGCCCTGACTCAAGCAGTGAAATGTGAGCTGGTGGAGCTGGTCGAGAAGCGGAAGGTTCCCTCGCATGGAACTTGACGTGTCCATCAAAGACTCAAGTTGAGGGTAGAAATCTCCGCGCGGGCAAGTGGATGAGTAGCTCCGACGTCGTGTCTCACTATGAAACTCGCGGCCGAACAGTCCACGCGAAGTGTGTCTGCATTATTCTGCATTCGCGTAGATGAGAAGCATGCTCTGAAAGTCTCGAGGCTGGAAGATCCTGGAGATAATTCGAAGATTGTCCATGTTTGCCTAGGCCACTTGACCGGAGTTGGGGTCTGGAATGGGATGCCTTCAGGCTTTGCGATGTCAGAAGGACCTTGTTCCTCCCTTGAACTGGCTGAGTAGCAAGAGATGCTCAAGAGGGATGCTCAAGCACCCCATGAGTGTCTGAAGAAGTAGACCTCAGTTCCTCTAGGATGATTGCTCATGATTGTCTACTGGTTGAAAGGAGATGGTAGCCGAGTTGATGCAGACTGTGCCGCTGTCTTAGTTGTTACGGCAGCAGCGCAGCAGAGTAGCAGTGGTGCCCAAAGCAAGGTCATCGCAGCCATTCCCCCGCACACACTCGGAGGGCTGCTACAGAGGAGTCTGTGGCCAAGCCTGCATGGTCTGATAACTGCATCACATCAACGGTGGCCGACCCTCACGACCAGTCGAGCCTAGAACGGATGCCTAGAAAACACCGAAGGCCGTTTGTGCGTGCCAGCAATACACCAAGGTCTCAAAGCTGGCAGCTCTCCGGCATCATTCTCAGCCCTTTCAGCCCAGATCGAAGCCAAAAGATGCTCTGGAAGACACAGTATGCCCTCTGAAAGGATGACACTGTTTGGAGACCGTTGACGGGCATCCAGCACAAGGCTTGGTGCTACGATAGTCTTGGCAGCTCTCTGCACTCAGTCTCTGTCCGCTGGTCGCATGTGCGAGACGACCGAATGGGATGTTCGTCCAGCATCTGAAGTTTGCTCGTACATGTTGTCTCGCCCTTCCGATCTCGTTTGGCTTGCTCAATTGCCCTGCACTGCCAGTCAGTTGCGGTGGTGAACGTCTGCTTTGACAAGGATGTCCTGAAGGCGCAAAATTGCTGCTCGAGTATTGCTGGGTTGGCTATCATCCAGCATCGGGTTTTGCCAAAGCTGCCGATGGGTCTGGCCCTGGCCTGGCTGCAGGAACGCCGCCTGCGAGGTGCTGGCTACTTCATCGGCTCTTACGAGAACCAAGGGCGTGACTCACGGAGTCGGTGCGGCCTTCTTTCTCAACTGCAAAAGACATGATGCTGCCTGCATGTCCGTGATCAAGTGGCATGCCGCATGGCAGCGTGGCCTATGTCGAAGCTCTTTGACGCATAAACCAAACTTGTCCTGGTCCTGGGGGCATTGGCATAGGCCGACTATTCATCCAATAAGTACAGTAGTGAAGTTTGCTTCCCTGTGACATGGAAATCTCCGTCGTGGTCGGAAGCCGCAGCGCTCCCAAGCTCGAGGCCTCGTCGGAAGGTGCAGCAGCCACAGTAGAGAGACAACAGTCAGTGCAAAGGCGGCGCGACGAGGCTTCCAGCAGGTCACAGAGAAACCTCTGAATCTCTGCGGAGTGTCATGGCAGCATGACGGCTTGTCTGAAGCTTGTGTACGACAGATTGCTTGCGATGTCAGCAGCCGTGGCTTTCAAGAGGCCTCCAATTTGTGTCAGTGCGGCTGCAGCAGAACATCTGAACGTGTGCAATGTTTTCGTCCGGCCGGTTGAGGTGGATGCAGAATCAGGCGTTTCTGCGCAGCCGCGGGGGTTCGAGGAGACGCGGCGGGGCGCGCTGCAGCGACTGCGCGCTGCCAGGGAGACGGCGGGGGATGCGAGAGCTGGGCTGGGAGAGCTTTCAAGACCCCGCGTTGAGACAAAACAAATGCACCATTCAGCTCTGTGTGACCGCTATGTCACCAGCTTGACAGGCCGAGGGTGCGCGTGCTGACTTCTGCATTGCCTTCGAGGGCGGGATCGAGGAGGATGCGCATGGCCGTCAAGCATGCTTCGCTATCGCCACTCGGCTCGAGTTTTCGAGGGCTTGGAACGATGCCGGTACCGAAGACAACTGCGAGCGCACCCCGTGGTCATGCGTGCTCCGCTGCATGTTGCTCCGTATATGAGTGAGGTGTGTGCGCAGTTCCGGGACGACGACTTCATCAGTGAGGCCGTCTTCAGGAAGCGAGACCTCACGAACGAGTCACGAAAGCAAGCAATGCTTAGAGGCTTAGGCTTAGACCGAAGTCCTACCTTTGCTGCCATGCATCTCGCCGCCATCTTTTACTCGGCATTTTCTACGACCAGAGATCCGCAGGTGCGCAGCGCTACACATTCTCTCCCGCCTGGGATTGAGACTCTCGGAGCATGTTTTGGAAACAGATAGCACATATAACCATGCTTGAGAAGACCAGGGAGATGCTAACAGATTTTAGCTCTTCCGGGCAAGGAAGTTGATCTATGAGGGCGTCGAGCTCGGCTTGGCAACCGACCAGTTCTTCGCATCCAGGGCTGCTCATCGGCATGTGGAGGTTTTGTCAGCCGGCCAGCCAAGAGACGTGCGTGTGCTGTTGATGGAACCTCCTGAAGTGGCCACACGAAGGTAGAACAAGGCTATGGCAAGCACACAGGCTCGTACATGGTGCTGAGGGAAACAGTGGGCTTATCATGACCTGCAGGGAGACGAGCAGGTGAGATTGATTGGATCCTGCGGTAGCGCTGCAAATTTCGAAGGAAGCAGAGCACAAATGTTTGAGTGGGATGATGATGCTGTGCAATGACTGCAACGTGCAGCAGCTTCCCGAATTTGACATCCTTCAAGCGTGCACCAGAGAGCATCATTGATGGAAGCAGCAGCCTCATACTGTCTCACCCGGCTTGGCTTGCCTCTTTGTGCAAGCTTTGCAGGCGGAACCATTGGCGCCCTCACCTTCGGTGCTGTGGACCGCAAGCTGTTGCTTGTAGCCGTGGCGGCTGAATCCAGAACCTGGCAAAGCTGAACGCAGCCGCTAGTCTGCCAGGACAGAGTCGCGTACTATGCGCAGCCGGCCGCACTGTGCTTGGTCGGAGGCTGAGCATTCCCGAAAGCACCGCCAGCAGGCGCGAGCGCACGTTTCGCAGATCAGGTGCCCTTCCTGAATGCCAGCGACTACGGCATCTCTGAGAACCCGCTGGTGCCTGCGGGACCTGCTGCGCAGTAAAAACATGCGAACTTGACGGATGCAGCTTTGCGGTTGCTGCAGAGCATCGGCAGACATGCAGTTCGTGCCGTGCGGACGACACATAAGCCGCGTGAGCATCTGTTGTCAAAGGTCGATGCTTGCCATGTCCTGGGACTCCCAACTCTTTCCAGAGCAAGGCGATTCTCTCCGCTGGCTGACATCATTGTGGGCTGGAACTCCGATCCTTTCCGATCTGTTGCTGTGTAGGAGCAAGCGGGTCCCAGATGACACTGTGCCTCCGCGAAAGCTTCTGCCATCTCGGCCCTTGGAAGAAACACCACGCATCGCTTGTCAAAGGTACTTCGATGGCGATCTTGCACAAGAGACAGGGCCAGGCCAGGTGCGTGAAGGAAGTGCGGACTGTGCATCGATAATCAGTCAGCGCGTGCAGACTGCAGGCTTTTCAGAGGAGGCTGTGGCCGAAAGTGCCTTGGAAGCTGTGAAGCAGCATTTAGGGATTCAGGAACAGCCGAGTCCTCAGCGACATGCCGGGACATCTCTAAGCCGGGGTTTGTAATTTGTAATGCCCGTGCTGGCCCAAGGCCCTCACACGTTAGTGTGAAGCTCTGGCAGGATGCTTCGGTCTCAGGGTTTGGATCTGCACCCGTATTACTCGGGCGGGCGAATCTCTCCTGATCTTGTACCAATAAATCACTGTGCATCTTTTACTCAACGGTTTGCACGCTCCTTGCTGATTCGGTTTGTGAGGCGCTTCCTCAGTACCGGGTCGGCCACCATATGCTTTTGCAGGACCGGAGCCGCTTCGACGTGCCTGTGACTGGTATGTGAAATCGACCGCACAGGACTTCAATGCAGCACGTCGACGCCACCTTCCATGGCTGCAGGCTGCCTGGCAAGCACCTTTACCAAAGTGAAGCCTCGTTTCCTTGAGGCTCGTTTCGATGCACGGTTCAGGGCGTCTTTGCGACAGATCGGTTAATACAACCAGCCAATCAGACTCCCCGGTCTGTCCCCTTTCAACCACTCCCTTCTCCATCAGCCCATCCCAATCCCGTCCCATGCCACCCCTCCGTCCAAGGCCCCTTCCCGCTGCTGCCCCGCCTTGGCCCACGAGGTTTGTGGCCCCGGATATTTCGGGACGCGCAACGTTGCCGATGAGGTAGTCGACGCCCGCGAGTTAACAGATGCCGGAGACTTAGCTTGTTGCTCTGCACCGTACCCTCAATCCGGCATAACTTAGGAGACTGCAGCGTACGTCTTGCCTGCTTCTGAACCTCAGACGATCGTCCGGCGCTTCATGCGGTTCCCCCATCTCATCGAGAACGAGCTGGAAGAGGACTCAAAGATCTTCGTCGAAGATTGTAGGGCGGCAGACATCATGATTCATGGAGGACACTTCTAGACGATCTGGGCGAATCTGAAAGCGGTATGCATCAGCCCCGAAAAGCAGCTGCACCGAGAATCTGCGGTATGTGTCTCCTGGAATCGTTTCAAGCGTGCGTCGCGGCACATTGGGCTCCAGTGGGACAACACCGAAGGAAGGTGCTGCACGACGATCATTTTGGTTTCCCGTAGAGGCAGTTGAGCACCAACCCACTCTGGGTTATCGGCAACCGCAAACGCTCGACTTCTATTCTGTGTTTTTCCGTACAGCCTGGAACACCGAAGTGGTGTTCACCCAACACTTAGCATGATACTTAGCATGTAGAAGATGCATAGAGCATTGAGGTTGACGTTTGACATCGCTGCCCATGGCGAGCAGACAGGGCAGCGGGCAGGATGGCTTGCCTGGCTTGCTTGCCCTTGCGATTTTGGGCATGCATCGTGCAGGACTTCGTGGTGAAGAATTTGGCCTTGGTGGCTGTGTTCGGGTCAATGAGTCTCCGTCTCGGCGATGAGCACATCGAAAGCCACACAATCTGGCTCCAGTACATTTCTTGGCCGAAGCCTTTTTGTGTGAACGTCGGGAGCAGGTTTCTTCTATGCTTCGCAGAGAGATGTGGCAGTCCAGCTCACACCTGGCGCCAAGCTTCCGAAGGCGCACCTCCAATCGATGGCCTCGCACGCACGATTCTGTGTCAGCTCTTGAATCCGCATTCTGCTCGTGACCCACATGACAAGCAACATAACTTCGTTTCCAGGGCCGAGCAGTGGTGGATAAGTAGGTTCAACGGATGCGTCTCAGAGCATTCGACTTGCAAGGGCCTTGCTTTCAAGTCGTCAGCACGAGGCCAGGAGCCAAACTCGTACGAAAGAAGCTCAGGTGAAAGCCAGGCTGCTTGCCAAGGTCCTAGAAATCCTCCGCCTCTCAAAGAGAAAGAGACCGAGGAGCTTCAAGGACTGTGGGCACGGTGGGCAAGAGGCTGATGCAGACAGGATGAGGGAAGTCCGGGCTCTGCAGGTGAGACACCCCAGGTCAGCCGTGAGGCTCAGTTCGGGGACCTTTCGTTCTCATCCGATGCATCATTGAACATCACGGCATGGTCCACCTTGGCTGTCAGGCAGATAATGGCCAAGCACGTCGGGGCCCGAGCTTGCCTGAAGTTTTTCTCAGCAGCAGTGCTTGTCTAATGCTTCATATATCGGGTAACTAAACGGATGGGAAGGATTCTGCATCGTCATGACGTGGCTTGATGTCGGACTGAGGCTGGCGCGCGCCCAATAGTCGGGAAGAGAAGGTGGCTGTTTGCCAGGGCGCGGGCAGAGGCAGAGGGTGGGCGGCGTTGCGCAGTGCGTGGAGGTTCCCCGCCTCAACCTCACCACCTTCCACGAAGATGTGCCTCCGCGTGAATCAAACACCGTCCTGGCTTCTGTACCTCTGCGTAGCAATGGCTTGACATGTCTTGGATGGTGCTAGCTAGCTCTGCAGTTTTGCGCTTTCCACCTAATGTTTGTCTTATTCTTGGACTTCAGGTGCACCTCACTCACGAGCGTTTGCAGCAGCCTAGCCTGTACAATACAAGATAAGAGGCGATGCCACAGCCTCGTCGCTCATGGCGATATGCAAAGGTAGAGCTTTCTCGTCTAGCAGGCTCAGTCCAGGTTAAGGAGGCTTCGCAGGTGATCCGACATCGATTTGGTGTTCACAATCGGCTGTCGCCCCAACATGACGAAACCCACTTAAACCCACCTTCCAACAAATGCCTTGTGCACACGGGTTGTGGTGTAGCACACTTGTGTGCGCAGTAACAACCGTGAACGGCGTAGCTGCCTTCAGCACTCTGGCTCGACGCGACTTTCGCCTAAGCTTTTTCTGCTAGCTCCTCTTGTGCCTTCGGCGGTCATGGCTCTTCACCCGACGATCGCTGCTCAGATGATGGCCGACGCCCTGGCGGCGGCTCGGCGTACTGGCTGGGTCCCGGTCATCGGCCTCCTGACGACGGACCAGATGACGGACCTCATCGACGCCGGGCACGCGGCGAGTCAGCTGATGGTGGGCCTGGTCCAAGGCACGACGACGGAGGAGGCGGCGGAGGTCGCGACGATGACAGCGGGTGGCACCGGCGGCACTGAGAGCATGCCCTTCGTGCCGACGCCCATTCCTGAGGGCGACGAAGATGGTGACGACGTGGTGCTGGAACAGCCGGTTCTGAGCGGGACGGCGGAGGTTGGGTCCCCGCCCGTTGGCCCTTCCACGGCGGCGGCGCCCACCCCGATGGCTACCGCACCGACGCCCTCAGGCAGATCGACGCCGGCCATTGTGAAGGCGACGCCTCCTGGGGAGCTGGCCCCATTGCCATCGGCGCCACCCTCGGTGCCGGCATCAGGGACGACGACACCGGCGCGGGCTGATTATTTCATCGACGCCGCCACCAAGGCCAAGGCGACGTCCTTGTTGGCGTCCAGGGCCGACACATGGCAGGTCGCGGCGCTCACTTCAATGCCCTCCTCTGGGACGACGACACCCGCACAGTCGGGGCGGCGAGGCCCGCCCAACGCCAGGGAGATTGTCGCGGCGTTGAATGTTCAGGCGACGCAGTCTCGCCCTGCCTCATCTTCGACGTCTGCCGGGCGGCGTCCCTTCTTTACTGGCCTCGACGCCATGGAAGAGGCTTCGGCGGCGGCCTCAGGAGCGGCGTCTCCCACTGGCAGCGCCCGCCACAAAGCCCCTCCGACGCCGTTGGTGCCTCCCACGGCGTTGGTCATTGATCCCAACAGGGGCGGCGGCGCCGAGGCGGCGCCCATACACCCGGGTCTGGGATCGCTGCGACGGTCACCGTGGCGGCGGAGAACATTGAGACGACGGAGCCGGTGGTCTACCCGCCGACGCCCAACCCCTTCGACGACCCGCCCATGAGCACCTCGGCGAGCCACTCAACAGCCGCAGCCTCTGCGGCGGACAGGCCCATCCCGCAGACCTCGACGACGACCAGGCAGGGCCCAGAGGCGGCATCGTCCTCGGCGAGCTCATGGATCAATGAGGCCTCGGCGTCGGCGGGCGTGGCCCCCGCTACGGGTGCGGCCCCCGCCCAGGCCGACTGGGGCGACGTCCCCTGGGAGAACCCTCTCGACGCCCAGGCCATGGCCAGGATCGCGGCGGCGGCGAGCAATGAGGAGTTCCCATACATCCGCCAGCCGCCTCGCTAGCCGGCGACGATCCTCAGTGCCGACGCAGGCCATGCGGGCAGAGAGGCGGCGCAGAGAGGCATCGGCCCATGAGCGACGCCAGTATGAGGCGTACGATCCGCGGCGGTGGGGCAGCACCCCGTGGACGGCGGAGGAGGTGGGCCACATCTCTCCGGCGTACTTCGAGTACAAACGCCTGATGGAGAGGGCCGGCGCGTCAGCCGAGGACACGGCGGTGCCACCACACCTTCGGCGCTTCGCCTACACTGGCCTCGGCGAGCTCAGGGCGATGGAGGCCAGCGGCGCCCTGCCCAGGCCAGTGACGCCACGGCGTGGCGAAGACCCGCCAGAGGCGGATTACCCCTTCCTCCGACGCTTGCCCACCGGCGTGGTCGGCGCCAGAATCACGGTGCGGCACAGCAAGGAGGAGCGGCGGATTGTTGGCTGGTGCGCGCACCCGTGCACGGTGCCGCACCGCGACGCCGTGTGCGGCGGAGAAGGTCGCTGCCTCCGACCTATCGCCCTCGGCGCGGCCGGCTCACACGGCTCATCCGGGAGCCACAAATGCCCGGCGTGTGAGGGCCTGCGAGCCCAAGGGCGGCGCTGAGAAGCCACCCCGACGCTGGGCAGCTTGGTTTCGACGGGGCCTTTCTTTGGACCCGGCGTTGGCCGGGATCGACGACACCCTGACGACAGAGCTCCCGGCGGAGATCCACCAGAGTTTTTCTTGCGGCGTTCGACGAAGCTCGACGCCTGCCACAGACCATGCCTGGAGCTGCGCCCCGGCGCCAAAAAGAGTGTTTGCATCGGAATGCGGCGGTCGTCGAGTGCTTGCACCTCTCTCTCTCTTTCCGGTTGCCCGGCGCTTGACCCTAACCCGCAGCCGTTTTGCCCAAACGCTGTCGCCAGCCCGGCGCTCAATTAGGATCTCGGCTCGATGGCTCAAGCCTCCGCGGCGGACCCCGCCCCAGGCACCTTCGCCGCCTTCCTAGCTGAGGTGGCGGCGGCCGGCGGCGGGGCGCACATGTCATGCTTTGCGGCCTTGGGGGTCACATCTCGGTCGGCGGTGGGACCAGCCGGGCCGGCATTGGTAGCCGCCGGCGTCCCCGAGCAGGTCGTACTCACACTGGCCACGGCGACCCAACCCGGGCCAGTCAGGAGACCGACGTCGGCCATGGTACCACATCGGGCGGACATCCCGTACCGACGCCCCGCGCAGAGGGCCTCACTGCAGGCGGCGCTGGGGGCGGCCGACCCGCAGAACACCCAGAGGGCCATCGACGAGCTGGAGTCGGCGGTGTTCGCCTCCACCACGCGGCGGTCGGTGGACTCCCGCATCAGGTTTTGGCTCAAGATAGCAGAGCGTCACGGCGTGGAGCCCTGGCCCCTCGACCACTACCGGATCAAGCTGCTGGCGGCGTGCCTCAAGGACGGCGGCTACAAGTCGGCGCAGCTCTACCTCGACGCCGCCATCTATCACCACGAGCACGTCCTTCAACTCGACGTGCCACCGGCCCTGAAGAAAGCAGCCCGACGCTTCGCCCGAGCGGCGGTCCGGGGCATGCCAGGATCGAAGCTGAAGCAGGCCTTCGACCTCGGCGTCCTGTCGACCTTGGTCAGATTCCAAGCGGCGCCTGAGCCCCTGGACTGCCGGCGGCCGCACCACGCTGTCGACGTGGTGATCATAGCATGCTGGTTCATGCTCAGGGAGGTTGAGATCCTCACACTGTCCTCGGCGACCTTCGGCGGCGGCATCACCCTGGACCTGCCTCTGCATAAGACGGCGCAGGGGGGACAGACCGAGCTGACACGGCGATCCCTCCGCTGCGTCTGCACGGCGGTGATCCACCCACTGTGCCCGGCGTGTGCCGCGAGGAGACATGTGGCCAGGCTCCACGCCGACGGGGCCAAGGCACCCAGCTCGGCGCTTTTCCCCACCTCTACCACGGAGCCCCGGACGAAAGCGGCGTCCATCGAGATGTTCCTCCTGGTCCTGGCGGCGTGCGGAGTGGAGACACACATGGATCACCCCGACGGCCGGCGGGTGCCCATCTTCGGGGGCCATGCCGCGAGGGTGTCCGGCGCCACCTTTCTGGCGGCACGGGGCGTGGCCATCGCCATCATCCAGCTGCCCAGGCGGCGCCCCTGACCTATGCAGCGGCGGCCATACCGGCACAAGCCCTGGCCACTCGGCCGGCAGAGGCAGCCGGCAGCACGGCGGCGAGCTCATCGCACAGCCCCTTGGCCCTGCCGGCACCAGACGACGACGACGACGCGGAGAGGCCGACAGCAGCCAGCCCGACGAGGTCCCCCGATGCTATGCCGGAGGTTGACTTCGTGCCGGCGCCGCTTAGACCGGCGGCTGTGGCACAGGTGGTCGGCGAGAACCCGACGAGGTTCATCATGAACGCCCGTTCCAAGATAGTGCATCTCCCCGGCGCCGACGAGACGGCGACCGAGAAGCACGAATGGACGGCGAAGTGCGGGTGGCCATATGGCATTCGCCAGTTCTTCCGGCTGTCGGCGGAACCGCTCGACGCGGCCACGGAGGTAGGGTCTTCCGACGGAAGCTCCTCATCCTCGTCCGAGGGGTCGACGTCTGATAGCGATTGAGCTGCGACGGGGTTTAAATGCTGCCCCTCCTTTCTCTCCTTTCGGCAGTCGGCGGCTGAGCTCGCGCTTAGCACACCTACCGACGCAGTGTTTTTAGGATCTTCTAGGCTTCCTTACCCGACGCCCCCTCCTTCCTTCGCTATGGCTGGTGCGCCGGCGGCTGCCTTCCCTACGGTGGCGGCGGCCATGGCTTCCCTGGACGACCTCATCGTCTCTGCCGGTGCGGCGCCAGCGATTCGGAACTATATCGCGGCGAGGGGGATCTCTTCTACACCGACGCTCGCACTTGTGGCCGAGGACACGACGAACTTCGTGGCGAAGTTCGTCCAACCCTTCTTGTCCGGCGTGACCTTGGCCGGCACGGACCACAAGGCGGCGCCTGGCAGCGAAGACGTGACGCAGGCAGTCCTGGTCCACCTCTTTACGGAGGCCCAGCGTCAATGGAAGGCTGCCACGGCGCTGCCGATCGCAGTCCCGACGCCTCCGCAGCTGCGCCTGCGGCGGGGCTCGCTCCAACAGCCACCTCGGCGGCCGACGAGCGCCCCCCAAAGCACTTCGCCCAATGGTCGGCGCAGGTCAATGCCTACGAGGCCAAGACCATCGACGGGGTGAAACGCCGCTTTCCAGCGGCGCGCCTCCTCGGCGCCGAGGAGGTGCTGGCCAGACTGTGGCACGAGCACACCAAGACCAAGGACTACAAGCCCTTGGGCCTCGGCGAGATTGTCTCCCGACGCACCTGGACGTCGGGGATGGACCTGAACACTATCTCGGCGAACAAGTCGACGGGCTCAGGCAAGGCCCTCCGGCTCGTCGACGGCGCCCTGGTCACCGAGGAGTCCGACGAGTGGACCCCCAAGGGCATCATGCTCACGCTCGACGGGATCGAGGCGGCCAAGTGGGCCTGGATCATATGCGGCTATGATGAAGAACGGCGCGTTGAGCGCTTCACCGACTGGTTCAGCGAGAAGGCCAGATCGCGACAGGCGACGATCCCGGCGGTCCACTCATTCTGGGCCGACTCCATGTGGAAGCTATGCGCCGAGATGCGGCGCGGCCTCACCTTCGGCGCGGCCACCAATGCGATCATGGACGACGCAGCCTCCTGGAACGAGCACGTCATCGCCCACTCCGCGGCGGCTGCCATGAAGAAGCAGGTCCAGATCACCAAGGAAACCGGCGGGCCCAACTCGACGGTGACTGAGACACACCAGGAGATCGACGACCAGCCCACCAAGGGGAAAGGACGGCGATGGCCGCGACGCGGCGGCGGCCAGCAGACGCCGTACTTCCCCCACCAAGGAGGGGGCGGCGGCCGCGACGACAGCCAGGGATGGCAGCAGCAAGGCGGCCGAGGCGGCGCACAGACCTGGAACACCTGGGGCGGCGCCAAGCGCAGCCAACAGTGGGATGAGTCCCAACAGCACGGCGGTTGGAAACAATCCGGCTCCCAGGGCTCCCAAGGCGGCGCCGGAGGATGGAAGAAACAGCGCTAGGGACAGCACGGGGCCCCGCCCTCCGGCGGACCAGAGGGTGGGGTACCCGACCCGGCGCAGAAGCGCCCCCGCCTACAGCACAGACGCCCGGCGGGCTCCGAAGTCATCTTGCTCTCCTTGTTCGACGGTATCGGCGCGGCGCCTTGGCTGGTGTGGGATCTGGTCGGACAGCCGGCGGCCATCCTGTCTTGGGAACTGGACCGCACGGCCACGGCGGTGGCCGATCACCAGGTACCAGGCATTCGACACCGCGGCGACCTCTGCCAGGACGACCCGGCGAAGGTCGCGGAGCTCATCGAGCAGATTGACCCCGGCGGCGACTGTGATGTCATCGCGGCGGCCGCCCCTCCATGCCAGGACTTTTCCAGGGTAGCCGACGGCCAGGGCCACGACGGCGCTCGGGGCGGCCTGTTCCTACAGTCAGTCGAGTTCGTGCTCGAGGTGCGGCGGCTGGTGGCTCCGCGGCGCTTCGGCTACCTCTTCGAGAATGTCGAGATGTCCACGGCGGATGCCAAGCAGATCTCGGCGGCTCTGGGGACACAGCCCGTGCTGGCCGACGCGGCAGACTTCGGATGGATAGGGCGGCCCCGCCTCTGGTGGCTTTCGGCGGACTGGGGCCAGGTCCGGCTGGACCCCGGGACCGGCGAACCGCTTCAATGGGCGCGGAAAGGCCCCTGGGACCGCCTCAGGCTCGAGGAGGCCCGGCGAGCGGCCGACACCATGACACTCGACGGCCTCACCTTCGACGACAGTGTGCTCTCCGGCAGGAGGCGCCTCCCTTGCGCCACGACGCCCGCGACCGACGAGAACGGTCGGGCGGCGCCCAGAGGTTGCAGGGGGAAGATACCAGCCGACGCGCAGCAGCGTTAGACCGGCGGCAGTTCGCTCCATGGCATTACCTTCGCGAAGCCATGATGGTCGGCGCCGACGGGAAGCTCCACGTGGTCCCGCCCAAGGTGAAGGAGCAGCTTCACCACCTACCGGCGGATTACACCCTCCAGGCCGGCGACCACCCTCGACGACCGGACCCGCCACCGCCTACTCGGCAATGGGTGGCACTGGGGGGTGGCACGACGCTTGCTGCTGATCCTCTTGGTGGCCACCAACATGGGAACGGCGACCTCCCAACCGACGGGACCGCCCCGCCAGTCGACCATCTCTTGGGTGGCGGCGCTGTGGAGCCACGGCGGCCCGATCATGGGCCCGGCACCCGAGCAGCCGACGGGACCCGACGCATTGGAACACCTCGACGAGGACTCCCACTGGAGAGCTTCGGCGCTGCTGCCGCACCCGCTCCAGACAGACCCGGTCCTGGAACCGGCGTGGGCGGAAGGGATCACACTGCGCCGTCGCTGGAGACACGACCTGGCACGCATTCGGCGTGAGGTGCTCGACGAGGTGCGGCAGCTCATCGAGGACTTCACCGATGAGACGGCGGCGTGGATGGCAGCACGCACACCAGCGGTCCGGGCTACCTACTCGACGCCGGACAAACCGGCGG